TAGTGAATATCACGTTTGTATCCTAGCAGTTGTTTTCAATCTATACAAAGCAGTAAATATCGGATAATTAATTTATTTTTAATAAATTTGAAGAGATTATTTTAATAATAATTTTCTATAATGATAAGCTCATTTTATTTATTTTGTTCAATGTGCCTACCGATAAGACTTGCGTTGATTTTTAATCTCTTGGTTCACGATTACTGGAAAGTTAAATCATTTACAGTTTAGTGACTGATTATTCAGTCTTTACGTAGACTAATAGGTCCGAAACCGGTCCTGGGATCAAACCATTGTTCAGTCAGTATTCAAATAGAAATCTCATAAAAATCATTATACGAAATAACCTAACCCAACAACTAAAAAGGGAAACTCAAGAAATTAAAAATAAGTCAATAAACAAGTAGGTACCTGAGGGAACTAACTGATGATCAGAGCTGAGATTATTCACTGTGGAAAATCACCAGGAGATTAAACCTACCAATAAAACCAATTCCTCCAATTTGAGAAGAACGTGGCACATGGGCTAGAGACAAGAAAATGCTGCTCTATTTGGCACATACCTAGAAAGTATTTTCCAACCAAACGAGAAACAGGCAGAATGTCGTCAAACAAAAATAACACAAAAAATCAGAAATAAACTCAGTTACACCAAAGGAGGTAATTAGAGAAATAAAAGAAAACATAAATTCCAAAAAAGATCCAGGCTGTGATTTAGTTACGGGAGGCATACTCAAACAACTCCCAAAAAAAAAGGATTATTAAAATTACCCATTTAATTAATGCATCGTTTCGCTTGAAACACGTTCCTATGTTGTGGAAAACGGCAGATGTAGTTATGATACCAAAACCCGGAAAAACTGTAAACGAAGCTAAATCTTACAGGCCCATTTATCTTCTGCCTGTGTTATCAAAATTATTTGAGAAACTTTTTCATAGAAGGCTGAAGAAGATAATTGATGAGGGACAGATGGTTCCTTACCATCAGTTTGGCTTTCGCAATAAACATTCTACAGGCAATCAAGTTTATAGAACAACAGAAGCAATATACGAGTACCTAGAAAAGAAGAATATTTGCTCTGCCGTTTTTCTAGACGTCGCCCACGCGTTTGATAGAATTTGGCATGATGGCCTCATCAAAAAACTAAAGGCACTCTTTCCATTACAGTATGCACAGCTATTAGAATCATATTTAAACCAACGAACCTTCAGAATCAAACAAGAGAACGAATACTCGGAGGTAAAATACATAAAAGCTGGAGTCCCACACTATATTTGCTGATGATACTGCAGTTCTAGCAATAGGAAATTCCATAGAAGAGACAACTATCAATCTTCAATATGCAATAAACGCCATAGACGCTTAGACCGCACAGTGGCTGATTAAATTAAATGAAAATAAATCACAATCATAATGTTCATTTCAATTGTACAAATATAAATCATCTTGCGGTAGAATTAAATAACCAAACCTTTCTAATAATTCCTCACAAATAAACTACTAAACATTTTGAACTTAACCTTGATGGAAAGTTCACGTTAAAATGAAGACTGAACAATTAAAACTCAAATATAAAAGCATGTATTGGCTGCTGGGAAGAAGTTCGCAGGTTCGATCAAAAACAGACTACTGGTTTACCAACAAGTCCAACAACCAGTGTGGACATATGGCCTATAGGACATTAGGCCTAGACAATTACAATTGCCTACAAGTGTTCCAGAACCGGGTACTAAGGAACATTATTAATGCACCCTGGTATGTTCGGAATGAGGATCTGAATAATAAGTAATAGAATAATTAGTAGGATCAGGAGTTTTCATGTTCTCTATCCTCAACACAAAAAAGGGTAAATTTACAAAGAGTTAAGAATAATTATTTATCATCCTATGAGATTATGATCAAAATGAATATCCTGTCTGATTTACAGACGCAAAAAACACGTTTTTTCAAAAAAATAAAAGATCTGACAGAGTTTCAGAATAACAGAAAATGTTATATTTTACATCAATATATCAGTATCAATAATTGTACTGTTAATCAGCGACTGTAAGCTGGAATTGTAAATGATCATAAAAATTAAATCATCATCATGCCACAGCTATTCAATCCATTGTTGGATATAAGCCTCCTCAAGTTGCTTCCCAATTATGCGGTCCTCAGCGTGTCATGTGCAGCGTTTCTTCTAAAAAGAAAAAATATATATTCAATATATAATGTATTATTTGGAGATAATGCGATGACCCATTTATATACAGGGTTGCTCATTAGTGCGTCAAAGTGCGATATCTCAGTAAATATGAAGTTTACAAGAAAATTCGTCCAACGAAAGTTTTTCACG